CAGCTAAAAAAAGCAAATAAAGCAATTGTAAAAGCTTGTATCACAAAAATTAAAAAAAACGCATGAGGGTATTTACCCACTCTACCTTCATGCCAAATTTCATTTTATTTGGCCCAAAAATGAAGGAGTGAATCAATTTAAAGAAATGGCAGGAGGCACGTGAGGTTGTGTGGCGTAGCGGCAGAGCGCGCGACTCGGAACTTAGAGTCCCGGGTTCGAGTCCTGACATTCCACCGATCTTGTGCCCTTCGGAAAGGAACTTTACACGACTTTCCTCACTTAGCTCAGGTGTAAATGAGTATTGTCCTGTCATGTATTTGTCCCCTGTGTTGGTGGTGGTATTAATATAAGTTGAAAAAACTTGAGTGTGTCGTCACCACGTCTGGTGATTACATGTTGGAATTTAAAAAAAATGACAGGAGGAGAAGAAGGAGGAGGAAGAAGAAACATCAGGAAGAAGAAACATCAGAAAATACAGTATTTCATGAAGTAATGAAGAGGCGAATCCGAGAACAAATTAAGTTAATTAATAAATGGCTAAAGGCCCCCAAGAGGTAAACAATCAGAGGTAAACAATCAAGAGTCAAGTACGTTGCTGTTTTTTTTTCTTGCTTTCTGTGTTGTTCTGATATTTGATGTAAGAATATAAATCAGTTTTTGTCTATTGAAGTTTGAAAAATCAGACACTAAACAGTCTACAAGTCTAGACCAAAATTCATGGCGTTGTTTGCAAGTGAAGGGCCTTAATCTTTAACCCTAGACTACTACTGCACATGTACTCTTGCAAAGGCTACTCCATACTGCTAATATCTACTTTAGATATTCTGTAATGCTAACTAGATTGTAGCCAGACTTCTCGGCCAGATAGTCCATGAGGAAGACGGAGATCATGTAACTGTCCGGGTGGTCTGAGTCCAGACTGACGATGCCTCCCTTGTCTTCCAGTTGATTGGCGATGACACGGAGAGCTTTGGGGACCCTCTCCACGTCTCTGTACTTGTAGTAGTTTGCAACAGACAGGAGCCACTTTTCTGTTGAAAAAAACAGGTGTCACATTATTGTGTCATATGGGACATTATACTGTGAAAAATGCCTCCGCCCCTGAGGCATCGCCAAAAACAAAGTGTACATTCTTTAAAATTCTGACACTGAACAAAATTATCTACATCAGGGCCCATCAACCTTCATTAAACCAGGACGGGGGATGCTACAGACTTTCAACCACCTTTGACCCATTGTTTGATTTCGGAAACTGACATGTACTGAGCTGTAAGACTCTCAACCAGAGGACTGCTGAAGAGCCCAGTAGTTGTTTTTGATGATAGTTAACATTTAATATTAAGATATGGACATATTTGGTATTTGAAGAAATTTACCATCTGTAGGAGGGAAGCGAGCTGTCGGTTGGATGATCCTCAGGCCCCGAGACTTAGCTTCACTTTTCACGGCGTCTGTCACTTTCTCAGGCAAGTAGTAGGCTGTCTGTAGGTCCACTTCGCTCAGTCGCTGCATCGTGCTGACCAGCCCCATCCGGATCCAGCTCTGTGCCTGTAGCGTGAAGTGTCCTAGCGGAAATGGTTGGCCCTGCAGGTGAAATCAAGAAATCCGATGTTTCAGACTTCTTTTGGAGAGTCCTTCATGCAATTCTGGGCTTCCTGAATTCCCCCATGTCAACATGTTGGCTCCTAGATCCTGGCCAAAGCCATTTCCTGTTTCTGACCTTTTGACCGCCTGTCATTCTGCCTGTCAACTTTCCCCACACATGTACTGTCAACCTGCTCTGCTGTTTGGACAGGCAGATACATAATCCCACACCTCAGCCTAACAAAACAACAATATTTCCGTAACTGCGTAGCTGGAAGTTAAAAGCACCAATAAAAAACAAAAGTATTGTTTGTATGTTTTACAAATCTTTGCAAACTTATCATTTACATGAAAGAAGGTATTTTTTCCTATATTTTGATTATTTACATGTAGTATGGCATTGCAAAAAAAGGAGGTACACATTTAAGACAGCGCATGCGCGGTATGATGCATTGTGGGTAATTGTCAAATGTGAAAGCCCCTGAGATATAAACAAAACACTTCCAGACATGCACAAAGCATGGTCTGTTGTCTTTTGTTTACGTCTCGGGAGCGCTTCATCTTTGACCCCGAGCATGCGCAGTGGTAATTGTGAACCTCCTTACACCGTATGCAAATAAGCCTCGTTCTCACCTCGCGCATGCCTATAGTGAAAGTTTTGGCCCATTCCGTCACCAGTTCGGGAAACGTTTCCACGAAGTCTCCGTAGAGGAAGAGCGTGACGGGCATCCTGCTGGAGTGAGCCGCGATGGTCTCCACCAACTTGTGCGCCGCCTTGGCGTTCATTCCGACCAGGACTGCCAGCGTCAGGTGGGGGGCACCCGAGGGTGGCGCCGTGCAGCCGGAGTAGACGGTCCCTGGTGAGCCTACAAAACTCTCGGAAACCTGGAATGGAAGGAATTAATATTATAAAGCTTAAGACTTTAAAAGAACGTAAAACACTACTTTAACTTATCTTTGCACTATCCTACTGCTGTATTCCTAAAGAGCCTAGTCACCTAGGTCACGTGACCCTACGGACGCATGACGCCAGCAATTGACCAGGAAGTCTATATCGCCCTCCGCCCAAAAACGGCCTGTGGACACTTGCATGCGATCTGTCGTAAGCACTGTCAGCCAATTGGATAATCCCTTTCCTGTTGTTGGAGGAATGGCTACCAGCCAGTCAGGTTGCCTCTTGTTCGTACGCGACGACGTGATTGGTTGGTGGGGGCTGGGCGTAGCTAACGCTAACGAGCCGTCGCCAGCCAATCACGTTGCTGGCCACGCTGGCCTGGCACTAATTATGCAGTTAGAAGAAGGTCCAAATTGATACAGGACGGCCAATGGATACAGGATGGCCAATGGATACAGGATGGCCAATGGATACAGGATATCGATGGCCAATGGATACAGCAGGACGGCCAATGGATACAGGACGGCCAATGGATACAGGATGGCCAATGGATACAGAGCGGCCAATGGATACAGGATGGCCGATGGATACGGTCGTTGGCCACCCAACCGAAAGATCTGCTTGGAGATTAGCAAGGAGCAGCGGGTATGATGTGTTAGGGTGAGCTGGAAATAACGCTTTGTTCTTTTTTATCTACACGTTCAATTTTCTTCTAAGGCCATGTTGATTTGATTATATGGATGGCATCATCTGGGAACCCCAAAACTGATGCGAGCTTGCGAATAACAAAAAAACTTTGGCCAAAAAAAAGTTTTCATCATGAAATCTACATGGTTTTGAAGGTTGAACAATTGACACAGAGTATGGTTTGGTGAATAATCTAGTCTTCAAATTCATTTGTTTACTTTTTTGTCTTTTTCCTTTGATTTTGGCATTCTACGACATTGTATCGTTTTCCAATGTTTTTTTTTCAACCTACGGTATATATTTGCTTATTACCTTCGCCAAGAAGGTTATGTTTTCAGGGGCGTTCGTGTATGTGTGTGTGTCACGGGACACGATAACTTGAGAAGGCTTAAATGGAAATTGTACGGTTTACAATATGGTTGATTTTTTTTTAAACGGCCGAAAATTCATGTGCACGCGGATGTCATCCATATAATCAAATCAACATGGCCTAATAAGCAACGGCTTTAGCGACGGTCACAACTCGCCGTACGTGCTTTTTGTCCGTACGTTTTTTGGGAGGCTACGTCTGCTACGTTTTTTCTGAAAACGTGGGGAAGAAGTGGACTCGACGCATGTCATTCCCACGTCACTCGCACGGTTTCGCAAGGTGTAAGAGTGTGGTCTGCACGCCACGTCTGGCCGTGAGCGGTTGCGTGCATCGTACGTTGCGCAAGTGGTAAGTGAGTTGTACGTGCTTACAACGTACGACCTCTGTGCGATTGTAACTTTACCGTAAGGAGGCCGTACTCACACGTGCTTCTTCCGCACGGCACGTACGGGACACGAGCGTCACTCGTACTCGCACGCACGGGTGGTGAATCCGCAGACCGCACGTAGAAAAAGTTTTAAAGTGCTTAAAGTGCTACTGCGTGTCTGCGTGCTCCCAAATCCGTAGGATTCCGTACGGAGGCGGTACTCACCACGTACGGATGTCCTGCGTTTGCCCACGTTTTTGCATGTAGACAGCACGCAGAAGCACGTACGGCGGATTGTGACCGTCGCTTTCCAGGCCAACCGCTTGTATACATATTTCAATCAACGATCCTTGCGTACCGGTCTGCGATTCGCTGCATTAGCGCTAGCTGGAAAGTCAATCAGACACAGCGCCTAGAACCGTTGTTGGAGGAAAGGTTACCAGCCAATCACGTTGCTTTTTGACAGTAAGTGGCGACGTAATTGTTTGGCGACGTCTGGCAAGCGCTAACGCAGCAAAGACGGCGGATCATAGTATATACATGTAACACTCTGGGGTTTCATTTGCAAGTTCTGAGTTGACTCTTTCTTGCACTAGAACTGTCGGCATTCAAAAACGCATTTTGAGGGTTCAAAATAGCGTTTATTTTAAATGCAAATTAGGACACCAACATGGCGGCGGGCACAGGTATGACGTCATGCGAAAGCTATTCTATACTCACTTTAGTGGTCCTACAATATACCGTTCGCGAGTTCTGGGGGGGGGGGC